GCTGGATTTGGGAGAGATCCCTCAATGGCCACGGTTTGATGTTTGGGGACACTCTGCTCCTAAAAGGAAGGGCTACCTTACTCCCAAAGTAAGGGCTGGGGGGAGGACAGGACTGTTAGAAATCCCCAGCACTGTCAGTGACACACACACACAAAAAAATTAAAAAAAAAATTAGGGCGAAGAGGGAAAAGAGAAGGAAACTGAGGGTTGAATTTCTTAACAGTAGCTAACGATCAGTTTATAGTAGCAGCTGTCTTAGATAAGCATCTGTGTAGAGCGCGGCATCACCGCCAGCATCACCTCATTCATATAGTGACAAGAAATTTTAAAAAGTTTAAAAAAAAAATTTAAAAGTAATTTAAACGAAATGTTTGTGTGTAAGAAATGGTTGAAACTGTCAAATGTCTGTGTCCCGCGTTGGTGGGATCTGAGAAGGTATCTGCGAGATATTAACCCTGTCCTACTCTCTGTGGTGCTGAGTGTTTGCTTGGTGTGTAATTCTGACCTGGAGCTTGTTGTAAATAATGTTTTTAGTACTATGATTATTATGATTATTATTATCAGAAATGTTGTACTCATGAGCAGGAGTTTAAAACAAGAGAAATGACCGTTTTCACTCCCTCCATGGGGCTCAGAAGGAGTCAGAGGCTGGGCCGGGTGAAGGCAGGTGTGGTGCTGAGTGTTTGCTTGGTGTGTAATTCTGACCTGGAGCTTGTTGTAAATAATGTTTTTAGTACTATGATTATTATGATTATTATTATCAGAAATGTTGTACTCATGAGCAGGAGTTTAAAACAAGAGAAATGACCGTTTTCACTCCCTCCATGGGGCTCAGAAGGAGTCAGAGGCTGGGCCGGGTGAAGGCAGGGTGGCGGCGGAGCCGGAGGCAGCTGAGTCCTGCGGGCAGGGCGGTGAGAGCGGGGACGGGCTGCTCCTCGTGCGGGGAGGAGAAGGAAGGGCTGAGAGGTGGAATAGAGGTGATGCTTCAGTGCCAGTGCGTATAATTTAGTGTTAACCCAAACCTCTTTGGGGAGGGGAGGGAGGTCCAGGCTGTTCCCCGCAGCCCCAGGGGAAGCTGGAGGAGCTGTGAGGTTTGGCGTGTGCTGACGAAGGAGCGGTCGGTGGCAGGTTGTGCTGGTTAGAGCCGTCCTCCCCAAACAGCTGCTAAGTCTCTGGACTCGGTTCCTGCCTGGATCTTCCATCTCGGTCCTTTGTGCTGTCCCGCGCCCGCTCTCCTCCCCTCCCTGGAGACCAACCTGGATCTCAGGTGGGGACTTATTCTTGCAATAGCTTCGACTGGGAAAAAAAATCCCCTGGGAAACGCACAGCAGAGTGGCCCAGCACACGGTGCTCATGCAGGTGTGAGCACTGGGAAACTCATTTTTCTCACCTCCGTCGGGTCGGTGCTGTGAGGGACAGTGGATGTGGCTGGAAAACGTGTTACTGCAGGGTAAGCTCCTGCGTCAGAGGAGCAGGATGTGCAGGGAGAGTTTTGCAGGGAGAGTTTTGCATCGGTAATGTCAGGGGACCGGCTCTGTTACTGCTGCTGAGATGCGTCCTGCCAAGGAAACAACCTCATCCGTGGGGCCAGATGCTTTAGGCATAGCAGAGTGATGTTTGTCCGGTGCAGATGAATGTAGTAGGGATGTTGGGGAGCTTGACATTTGTCCAGTGCCACTGGACGCTATCAGGGAAATGTGTGATTGCTTTGGCTGCACGCCCCACCTCCCGCGGTTTTGGCTGGATGAGGGATGTTCACCCACCCACTGAGCTGCTCCAAACCTGCAGGGACGGTGCTGTCGGCACCAGCAGCTAAAGCGGTGCCGTGCCTGACCGGCAGCACGCGGCATGGTCCAGGATCACCATTATTTCATGCCTTTCCACATCCCAGGGTTGCTAATGGTTCTGTGCAGCAGCATACTTCATGCCTCAATTGAGACTAATTAAGTATCCTCATTAACATCCTTACCGTCCCAGCCTCTGTGATTCTCGGACCGTTCCCACGTACCGCAGTCATGGACATGGCATGCAACCCCCCAGTTCCCGGGGCCACCTTCCTTCTGGCAGGGCTTGAGCTTCTTCATTGATTGCCATAGACGTTTAGGAATCAAGGTTTGTAAGGACAGCTAACAGCCACATTTTTGCAGCAGCATATGAACACGAGACTTTGTGCCTGGTAGGGAGAGCATCCTCGAGGCAGCCGGCAGCATCCCTGCCTGGACCACAAATGTTTGCAGTTGTGTGAGGGAGGAAAGACAAGATGGTGACAATTTATTACATGCATGCGTACACTTTTCAAAGAGCTGTCTTGGAGAAGGGCCTCTGATTTGAGTAAGACAGAGAAGCTGGAGCTAAATGAGTTCCCAGCCAGTGCCACCAGCCAGGTGACGAGCGAAGCTGCACGGGAGCTGGGACAACCGGCCTCGTATCCCAGATTGAAGCTCTGCGCTCACATTAACCCTTACAGCAAAGAGCTCAGCTCCGTCCGAAAATGGGTGCTTTCAAGGATGCTGGCCCCCCCAGACTGCTGGACTGAGCCTAGTCCCTATTATTTTTGAGTCATAAAATAATCTTGCTCTAACCCAGACACAGGGTTACCTTTGAGTTGGCCTTCCAGGGGTGGTGGCAGTTCACGATTGCATGCATCCTGCCTTGGGGGTAGGTCGGTATTGCTGCTCCTTTTAAAATGTAAACTTCAGCTTGCTTGCTTTCGCTTAGCCCGGTGTGACTCTCTGGCCCTGGCTCTGCAAAGCCTGTCTCATGGGGTTCGTTTAATTCCGTCCCGCTGCATT